CTTCCGTTTGCATCCACACTCCTGAGTCTCTGCAGGCTGCCTCAGTTTGACCCCTTGTCCATCCCAGAACACATAATATAGCCCTTTCACCAGTAGCAACAAGAAATATAATCCTACTAGCATTTTGGAATTAAAAAAAACGAGGGTGTGATCACAAGGAAAGACCACATGGGCTCCTCCAACTTATCTTTTCTTTCCTCTCTTCCTCCTCCTGCCTGCTCCAGAATAACAAGCAAAGTATTTCTCTTATTTTGAGAAAAAGAGTTTCTCTCACATTCAGCTCCCTGGGAGGGGGATTTACCTTATTTTTACTCCAAGTACTTTATCAAAAACTACAGTCTCTAAGAGGATTACCAGTGAATATGCCACTGCACATAATGAAGGAAATAGGTCCAGAATAGATGAATGACATGTCAAGGTCCCACAGTTAATGACAGAGTTGGGACCAGGACCCTGTTTGTCTGAATTATAGATCAGTGTTTTTTTTTCCATTAAATGGTGCTGTAACTTACTCTGCTAACAATGGTTACAACAAGTCCAAGGAGGCTTGTTGTGGCTTTGAGAATAAAAAGGAAGAGTCAAACCCTTTTTAAAGAAGATGAATAATTCTCATAAACGTGATGGAAAAAAGACATCCAACAAGGGACCCATGACCAAGGTAACATGGCAACAAGTATTTAGCAACTGCCTATCTATCTCATGAAAAGAAGGGGGCACTGGGCCAACTTGAAAGACAAGTCTCTGCCCTTAAGGAGCTCACAGTCTAATGATAAGGGAATGATGTGTTCATGAATTGGGACAGAGTGCTTCTCAGGAAGACTGAGGGGAAACTGTTTTCTGTGAGCAACAACAACTGAATTAAGAGCAATGATGTGTGAGGGTGGGAGTCGGGGGTGGGGAGGACAAAATAAAATGAAGATGAAAATTAAAAAAAAAATGCTCTGAAAAACCACAAAATTTTATACTATAGAGAACATCAAGTATGACATTGGAAGAAAAGCGGTAGCAGAGGTGGCATCTCGTAATTCTCTAGAAAAAGTAAGTAGAAAGGGGTTGGCAAAAACAGTACTTATGGCCTCATCACCATCGCAGAAAGTACAATGTTATACACATAGAATTTGAGATTTTATAGAATGAGGAAAACCAAATCTCACAGATATAAAGAGACTTGGTAGGATGAGACTCATGCCTGGAACATGGAGGTGAAAAAAGGTACAGCACATTGTTCCAAACAAACAACTGGTTCTGATGCAGCTGGAAAGGGGCTGGTCGTGGGACATACACCACGTGTTCATGGGGAACCTGCTTCTGGGACTGAAGGAGCTTCTTTGCTGTGATCAGCTTTTGCTCCTAGTGTTTGAAAAATTCACAAAGGAAAGAAGGAAGAAAGGAGGGAGGGAGAGAGGGAAGGAAGGAAAGAAGAGACAAATGGGAGTAAGTGGAAAGAAAGAAAAACAAAACAAACAACAATAACAATAACAACACCAAAAACGATAGGAGAGTCTGAGTAGCACTTTACATCAGGAAGATAGAGTCCTGTAAGGGATTTTATTTGTTTGAGAGTAGAAACAAGAAAGAAATTCTTAGGTGAAGATAAAAGAGAGAAAAAGAAGTGATATTGTAAAAATGTGCTCAAATCCGCTGCTCTTGAGTCAATTCTGATTCACAGCAACCCTACAGGACGTGTCCCATAGGGTTTCCAAGGCTGTAATCTTTACGGAAGCAGACTGCCACATCTTTCTCCTTCCAAGTGGCTGGTGGGTTCGAACCACTGACCTTTCGGTTAGCAGCCGAGTGCTTAACCACGCCACCAGAGCTCCTTGGAAATGTGCTAGAGACTGCCAAAACAGATACATACACTGGATTATATATCCCAGGTTCAAATCATGAAATTGGTACAAAACCAAGTTTGAGAAGTGACAGGGAAGTTAATTTAATGTCATCCCCTAGAATGCAGGAGACGACATAGCAGAGATTGCTATTCTGGACCTAATTCTGACCCACAAAGATGGAAATGATTAGGAAACTGTGAGGAAAATTTAAGAGAAAGTAACCATGACTTTTTGGAGTTCCTGACAGCCAAGGAGATAAGGTCAGATGTATGTCCAGGGCTGTGAGAAGTCTAACATCAAATAGTTAAAAGGTCTGCTTTTCATAGCCTGCGATTCTATGGAAGAAAAAGGTCTAAGGAAGATGGGATTCTCTTAGAAATGAAATGCAGTCAGTATAACTGCTTTGGAACTCAATGAAGAGGAGCGGGAGGTATTGGAGGGCAAAAGACCTCCCCAATGAACTCAGATTTTGAGATAAGTGGCAGACATGGGCATAACCAAGAGAGTAGTACATATATTTCAGGACTTTCAAAAGCACAAACCATAAATCAAAAACTGAGAAGTTTGATTACATAAAAATTAAAGCTTTCTGTTTCATGAAAGCCATCATGGACAAAGTTAATACACAGATGGCAGAATGGAGAACATATTTGCTTTGTCTGAAACTGACAAGGATATAACATCCTAGAATATGTAAGGAACTCCTGCAATTGAACAAGTAAAAGACAGCAATCTAATAGGAATAACAAACAAAGGCTATGAACAGGCAATTTATAGAAGAGGAAACCCAAAAAGCTAATCATATGAAAGTTTAGTCAAAACCATTAATAACCAAATGCAAATTAAGTCAACAATGCAATATCACTTTATACTTATCAGACCAGCAAAAATTAGAAATGTAGATAATGCCAAGTGTTGTTAGGGATGTGGAAATCCCCGTTGCTACAGAATCTTGTACTGCTGGTGAGAATGTAGACTGGTTCCACCACTACTGGAAAGCAATCTGGCATTACCTGGACACACTGAATAGATGCATACTCTATAGTTCAGCATTTGATCTCCTAAAGCAATACAGAATAAATTCCTTACAGGTCTGAAGAGGGATAGTATGAGGATGTTAAATGCAGGGTTATTTGTAGTGGCACGGAGTTGCAGACAACGTGGTGTCTGCCACTGAACGAGACAACAGGCACAATGTGATGGATGCACACCATGGAACATTATGCATCAGTGAGAAGTAACTGATTAAATGTTAACATCTGGCAACAAGGATGGAGCTGAATTTAAAAAGTTAAGCACCACTGCAGCACAGGCCGCAAGGATGGGCTGTTGGGGTGAATGACCAGAAGCCAGAGAAGGTCAGCGGCCACATTTCAAAGGGTTTGGAATGCCAAGCAAAAGCGGCTTTCTGAAGATAATGGGAACCTCTGCAGGGTGTTGGAAATATTCTGGTGCCTGTGCAGCATCAGACTAACTCTCCTGCTTGAACAACATGCTTTCCTTGTTCCCCTCTGAGACTGGCTTGGGAGGGTGCCTTTCTCTCCTGCCTAACCTCCCTCTTATTCCTCACTGAAAGCCCTGCCCTAAAAAATAAAACAAAGCAAAATACCCTCTTAGAGCATAATGACTGGTTTTTATTTTTATTTATTTTTTTGAATAAATGCAAACTCTCAGCAAATCCTGTTGCTGTTCAGGGTTATACCAACAGAAACAGAATTGGGGACATTAATCTAGAAATAATGATCTAATCAGAGGGCATGCATGGTGAGCTTTCTGAACTCCTGCCACAGCAGCTGCCCCAATCCTCAGGGGGAGAGTCCATCAGTGTTCTGCAGAAGGACAGTGGGTCCAGGAACAGCGGCCGTCCACCGGTCAGGAGATTCATTTGTGGCATGTGGACAGGCAGAGGTCCTGGAATGCAGCCTTCCAGTCCACCGGCAGAAAGAACTCGCTTTTATTAACCACTATGCCCCCAGTACCTGGCACAATGCCTGACACACAGTAAGTGTTCTAAAGATGCTTTTAAAATAGATTTAGTCCTGGGATAAGGTGATAAACTTGAACCTGGTGTAAGAGTAAGAGTCCCAGCGGCAATGGACTCTGGAAGGAGGGAGAGTCTCTATGGTCATTTCAGCTTCCAGGCTCTGTCTCCTGCTATGCTTTCCAAAGGCCCTGAGAGGGGAAACATACATAAGAGATTTGAATAGATGGTAAGTGGAGTGACAAGGAAAGACAGGACTTAAATTTCACTCCCACGAGAGGCTTCTTCGGGACTTGGGAGAGATGAGGGAAGGAACAGGATATTAAACTATGAAAGCCAAGGTGAAAGAAGACTGGTAGCTTCATTCATGCAACACATTTATCGAGCACCCATCATGTGCCAGGTACTGTGCTAAAAATACAAAGATGGATCACAGACTAGTTAGGAAGACAAATGGTAAATAAATTCCTAAACAATAGGAAAGTACAGTTACAGGAAAACGCAAATGTAGTCTAACGAACCAAGAAAGGGGAGGGGTCAAGGAAGGAGTAACTGGAAAGAGGAGGAAAGCGGCCCAGGTGACACGGCCGTTGTTCAAAGGCGGGAAGAGGAGACCAATAATTGCACAATTCTCCCTAAAAAAAAAGGACGGGGGCGCCGCAATCACCTGAAAAGAACAGGATATAGATCCGTGGATAAAGCTGGGAGCCAAGGAGACTTGAGGTATGGAAACTCGATGTGATTGGCACAAACCTTCGCTCACGCTCCCCTCCAACTTTGCTCCGCCCCATCTCATCCCCCGCGGAAGGGGCGTGGCATTTAACAATTTCATTGCGCGGGGAGGATATCCCAAGCCCCAAGGCCCGCACATATAGCAGGGTCTCCAAAAATAGAAAGTGTTTCCCTGAAGTCGTCAGGTTAGCATAAACCGGCCGCCGCCGGGCGGCGAAGGAGAAAGCGCTCATTGGTTGCCATAGCAGTGAACCGAGGAAGGCTGATTGGCTGCAGGCTCTTAGTGCAGACCACGCCCATTTTCTCTCAGTTCTATTCTCGTCAGGTGCCGCGCAGCCCCCTGGGTAATTTGGACTTGCTCCTTGGAGCAGAAAGGGGGAATGTGGCGTCGTCCTCGGATTTGGTTTAAGGGAACCGAGGGCCAGGCTATAGCGTGCGGGCGGGTTGAGCTGGGACTAGGGGTAGAATACTTGGATTGTCTTCCCACATTTTCGGCCCTTGAGCCGGTCTGTGGTAACCCTAGAGCCTGGTTGCCACCCCCTACCCCCCGGCGACATGTGGTTTTTGGATTCGGAAATGAGATGAGACGGGAAAGGGTAGCGCACTTTCAGGGTGGCTTCTGATACTGCATTTTCGTGGGGTCTTGCGCCCTCTGAGGGCCCCCCGTGTGCCCTCCTAGTCCCTAGTTCAGAGACCGGGACAGAGGCTGCGGCAGGGGAGACGCGGCTGTGGTGAAGGCTCTCGTGCGAGCGCCCCCTGCGACCGTTCTCAGCAGCCGGGGCTCCCGAGAGCCGAGGGCCTTAAACGATGAAGTGCTCGTTCTTGTGAGGGCGGTTCTAGGTTACTCAGCCGTTTGTCCCGGCCTGGGTTTCCAACCTCCCGGGCCCCAGTCACGGCTCCGCCAACCTCGTTGAAAGTGCGGTTCCTAGGGACGTATCAAGCTGTTCCTCGTCCCTGAAATTACTCATCCCCAGCTTGCAGCCTCCCTCACCAATTTTCAACCTACAACTCCTGCTTATTCTTCAAGACGCAGTTAATATCACCTCCACCATATGAAGCCCGATAGTTATTTGGTAAACTTAGGAGTGCAGGCTTTGGAACTGGTGCTCCTGAGTTAGAATAGCAGCTATGCCGTTTTAAATGCTGTGTGATTTTTAGCAAATTACTTAACTTCTCAGAGCTCAGGTTTTGCATCTCAAAATGGAAGTAATACTAGTATCTCTGTTTTATGAGGATTAAATGTGAAGTTCTTAGATGAAATGCTTAATAAATGTGAGCTGCTGTTATCTGTGCTCCCACAGTACTTTGTATAGGCTTCTCCCAGTGATTGTACTTTGTATTAACAATTATTTGTTCTTGTCTGCCCTACTAAATTTTGGGTTCCTTGAAAGTTAGAACTGTGTCTTGTTTATAATCTCAGCGTCCAACAGTGCTGGGCTGCTATAAAGCCCTCAATAAATACTTGCTTATCCAATTAGTTAGTCTGTAGTTAATGGTGTGAAAAAGAAATTTGTGGACATATTCTACCTACAGGTCATCTGCTGCCACGGTTTTGGTAGGTTAGAGCGTGTGTGACTGATAGGTCAAGTCTTCAGATGTGGCATTTGGGGGAAAGGGGAATTGAAGAACTTTTTATTACTGAAGCTGGAGAGAGAAGTGGCAGGGAGGGAGTGTTCAGAATACAAAGAGTTAAAACCAACCCTGATATGATCCTGGGCACCAAAGAATAGTATAGGGGGGAAAAAAAAGTAACAGCAGCCCAGATAGTAGCCAGACTAAACAGAGAGGGAGTCCCCCTACTTCCCCTTTTAAGGATTCTTACCATTCTTAATGTGTGGGTAAGATACAGGGAATAGTAGTTAATTTAAGGAGTCTCGTATAACTTAAGGGACAGAATGGCTCTGTGGTAGAATTCTCGCCTTTCATGCAGGAGAACCTGGGTTCATTTCCTGACCAGTGCACCTCAAGCACAGCCACCACCTGTCTGTTAGTGGAGGCTTGTGTGTTGCTGTGATGTTGAACAGGTTTCAGCGGAGTTTCCAGACTAAGACAGACTAGGAAGTAAGGTGTGGTGATCTACTTCTAAAACATCAGCGAAGGAAAACCCTGTGGATCACAATGTTCTGATCCTATTGTGCATGGGGTTGCCATGAGTCAGGAATTGACTCAGTGGCGGCTAATCCACCACTACCAACAACATATGACTTAAGCATTTTTTTTCCCCTTGAGATTTAGCATTTTTTCGCACCAGACTAATACATTATTTTTCAGAAAACTTTTTATTTTTATTGTGCTTTAAGTGAAAGTTTGCAATTCAGTTTCTCATACAAAAATTTATACACATATTGCTACGACCCTAGTCACTCTCCCTATACTGTGACAGCATACTCCTCCTTTCCACCCTGGATTTCCTGTGTGCATTCAACCAGCTCCCGACCGTCTCTGCCTTCTCATCTAGCCTCCCGACAGGAGCTACCCATTTAGACTCATGTGTCTATTTGAGCTAAGAAGCACATTCCTCACGAGTATCACTTTATGTCCCATAGTCCAGTCTAATCTTTGCCTGAAGAGTCGGCCTTGGAAAGGGTTTCAGCTCTGGGCCAACAGAGAGTCCAGGGGCCATGTCTTCCGGAGTCCCTCCAGTCTCAGTCAAACCATTAAGTCTGGTCTTTTTACTAGAATTTGAGTTCTGCACTCCACTTTTCTCCTGCTCCATCAGGGACTCTCTGTTGTGTTCCCTGTCAGGGCTGTCACTGGTGGTAGCTGGGTGCCATCTAGTTCTTCTGGTCTCAGGCTGATGGAGTCTCTGGTTTATGCGGCCCTTTCTGTCTCTTGGGATAATATTTTCCTTGTGTCTTTGACGTTCTTCATTTTTCATTACTCCAGGTGGTTGGGACCAATTGATGCATCTTAGATGGCAGCTTGCTAGCTTTTAAGACCCCAGATGCCACTCAGCAAAGTGGGATGCAGAACATTTTCTTAATAAACTTTGTTATGCCAATTGACCTAGATGTCCC